AGGGAGAAGTTAATACACACCAAGCTCAAGGTCGAGTGGCATGCATTATGACTTTATATATTATAAAAATCTCATTTCTACAGCATTCTTGACAGATAGGGGACACAAGTGCTCTACTTTTTGTCCACCACGGATCTTGGCCCTTCCCCTTCTGCACAAATTGAATAAGGAAACCATGTGGCATTGTTGCTTCTCTGTTTGTTTGCTTGCTTTTTAACCGTTTTAACAGTGAGAAGTCATTCAGGGTACATGGATGCCTGTTTCGTAACATTTTCACGGGTATACCCAGGTGACATGTCCCACGAGCTTTATCATTACTTAATCTTCAGTCCAGAACTTTCTGCGGTTCAAGGATGATACATCCAACTACCTTTATGTGTCATCTGGTAATTATCAAAGAGATTCAACATCAGTAGGTCGAGAACTGAAATCAGAATTGTTGTCCTTAAACCCAGCATATATTTGTATGCATGTTTATATTTATGCTTGTGTATATACCCTCTCTTAAAACCAGGGGACATTTGCACTCTTCTCCCTTGATTTCTCTTTCCTGACTAAACTGAGGGGCAGTGACAAGTAAGAGCTGGAATAGACCTGGTGAACTCCATGCCCAAGAACAGAAGTCAAAACTATTAGAGGGGGTCTGGTAGGTGGCGTGGTGGTTAAAGGCACTGGATTCCCACATGGCTGACTATGGTTTGAGTCCCAGGCCTGGAGAGTTGCTTTCTCAAACTGTTTCTTTTTCTCTCTCTCTGTCTCTGTCTGTTCAAATTAAAAAATAATAATAACAAATGGAATTAAATAAATAATTTTTAAAAAACTTAAAAAGACACTTTAAAACTATTAGAGGCAGAATTGAAACTGGAAGTTTTTTGGTTTTGTTTTTAGCTTTCTGCCATAGGATGGTGCACTTGCTGGAGACAGAGAGAGAGAGACAGACATGGAGGGAAAGTGAGAAATCCTCCCCCCGCCCCCCAGTGAGGATGGGTAACCACTGTCCCTTCTCCAACATTCTCCTCTCAGGATTTCAGACAAGCACACAATTGTGCCTGGTGTGAGTTTAGGACAACATTTTGTAAGATTTCTCTTGAAAAATGAAACAAAACAAACAAAAGTAAGACCTACGTGCACATCTTGAGGCAAGAAAACCAAGAGAACCGCAGAGATTGTGCCCTATACTCTATCTAATCTTGAAGTGGGACACAGAACAAGAAGAGAACATTGAGCACTTATAAGCACGTTGTGACCAATGATAAGGTGTGAACAGGGGGCTCCGGGGAAAGATCTTGACTTGGGAAGAGGCCTCATGGGGATAGAGGCTCACTTAGAGGGTCACTTTTCAAGCCAGGCTTGTCTGTTGTCACTGGTGGGCTTTGAAAATCGTCAGGCAAAAACAAGACACAAGATACTCTGCTATGTGGTCAGTGAGAATGAACTTGCTGAAAGCTGTCCTGGGTAAATAACTTTTTTTTAGTTGTTTGCCTGCTAACCCAGAAAATGTATGCACAGCAATATGCAGATCACAGACAAAGAAAGAAATCACATGATCCTCACCAGAAGAGTTAGTCATCACTGCTGAGGTTTAGCATATGTGTGTCACCAGACACTTTTTAGAATCCCCAAGATAAAGCTTTGGCTTGCCAGTTGCAGGGTTGTTTCTTTAAGGTTGAAGCATTGTGGAATGGAAAGCAACAGGCCTATCAAACATATTCAGAGCTTCCTTACACTCTCCCTGTAAACTTTTAGATGTTGGATGATAACATTTCCAATTCAGTGTATTTTCTATACATATAGAAAAATTATCAAAGTGTCCCATATGTTCAGACTACAAAGCAGTTGTTACGACAAATTATGATTCTGGTTGTTTTCCTGAATAAAAGATTGAGTTAAAAGGTTTGGCAGGGTGAAGGGTAGGTAGGGTGAGGAATCCTTGAGTTATAACATAAAAATTTGTGAAATTACAAATAGCCTTTTAAAATGTCAAATTTCCTTTTCATTTGTTTGAAATACAAGTACAAGAACAACCATGAGTAAAACCAAATACATTTTAACTAGGTGCTAAGTATTATCTTACACATAAATTACATTCCCCTCCGTCCCTCTTTGGGGTAGAGTCTATTGTTATGATTCTCATTTTACAGATGAAGGCGATGTAGGGAGTAGAGTAAGACCATCAAAGAGAGGAAGGGGCCTTGCTTCACCTCCCGTTCTTTGCCCCTGGAACCTTGACTTAGTTATCCCCTCTCTCCATTCATCATAGGCACCCTTTCTTTCCCATGGCATCCCCTTTAGCCCACACAAAAGCACAGATATTTTCTGGCAAATTTGTCTTTTTTTAAAGCACTACTAAACTTATTCAGATTGTTAACTTCCATTTTTATCTAACCGTTTGCAATGAAACAGACTTAAGAAATGTAGGCCAAACATTAGCCATCCCCAATACTCCTGAAAACACTTACCTTGGTTGTAACATGGCGCTTGTGAGAAATTGTCAATCTGTGCCAAGATGAATGTCTTTAAATGCCCCATAAACTTAAACTGGCAAAGAGCTAGCATCTCTCCAGTGACGGCCTTCTCACTACCTCCTGCCTCGTTTTGTTGCCTGGGCTCACAGCAGGGCTGCTCACTGCGCTCTTCCAACTCCTCACGGCACTGGACTGGGCTGTTTGGATATTTCACATGGATCACGTCTTGTACCATTCCTCATTTAGTCTGTGGGCTTGAAAAAAGTGACTTCACCTGTCTAAATTTTAGTTTATTCGTTTAAAAAATGGAGATGACAACTAGCTTGAGTATTAGATAATGCATGTCAATTTTTAAATCAATGCATGTGTACAAGTGACTCGAAAAATATTTGCTATTATTGACAGTAACATACTGTGTGAGACTTTTCATGTATTGTTGGACTTTTTTCATATCTATGTTGGGTGTGTGTGTGTGTAAAATATTTGGGGTACAGTCTTACCATTGTTTACACTAAGCAATTAATGAAAAGCCAATCGCACTATTTTTAAAATATTTGTAGTTAATTATACATATAACCAATGGAGTGAGGGATAATTTTCTTTCATGTTAGAATCAAACACTCTTAGGTAAGATTTCTGGAGTCATGAATTTTAAGATATTTTAATGTAAATAAAATGCTTAATATAAAATACCTAACTGTGAAAGGCCTGTGTGTGTACGTGTGTGTATATGGAAACAGTTAATAACATGTAGCCTAAATTTAACTGCATAGGTATTTTGGGTGTCATGCATTGTTAATGCCGTCAGTTTCTCTAGTATACATTCTTTTATCTAAAATAAAACTTAAACTTCCTGTAGAAAGCATGAAATTAACAAATCACCCAAACCATTCCATCCCATAATTCTCTAGCCTTTTGATTTTGGTTCCTATACATTGGAACATAAAAGTGATTGGTACTGGGCCAGCAGGTAGCATGGTGGTCGGGGTGCTAGATTCTCGTATAGCCAACTGTGGTTCGAGACCTGGACCTGGCAGCTTGCTTTCTCACTTTCCCTTTCCCTCTCTGTCTCTTTCTGGTGAGTGTTAAAAATTTAAATAATAATAATAAATTAAATAATTCTTTTAAAATAAGTGGTTGATACTAAGCCATCAGTAGTTAGAATCTAAGAATACAAAAGATGACCAGTAGTAAAGAAGATAACAGCAAGTCACAAGATCATTTGAAGAAATCATATTGGAAGGTTGTGCATCTCTGCACAATTTTGTGGTGATGGGGTATTTCATAAACATCTTACAGAATGGACCAATGACTAAATGAATGAATGGCTATATTTACAGAATACTGAGTGGGGAACTGAGGGTTTAAATTTCATAAAAAGTAAAATAACTATGGGAGCAAAAGGATTATTTTAAAACAGGAATGCTCCTGGGGATTTATTTGATTTTAGATAAATACAGCTACAAACATCTTTAATCATTTCTATGTAAAAGCGTTAATTTTTGTGCAATGGTTGTGAAAATACACTGAAAAGTAGATGATTTGCCTTTTAGTTATGGGGACAACCCACAGAACTCTAGCCAAATATGGCATCTGACCTTCACCACAAGATGAATCTATTCACTTTGTGAAGTACAGATATTGACCTCCAAGTTTTTCTTAAATGTTGAATTTTCACTATATGTTGGTAAGAGAGCAGGAGCAGGAAATAAAAAAATGAATTCTTTCACATTTATATCAAATATTAAAAAGATGTAACAACAATGATTCTAAATCCATTTAACAATTATTTCCAATAGTAAGTGGGAAGTTACAGTTTGGAGATTTAAGTTGAAGCTAAGTTTTTTTTTTTACAAACAAATATCGATTAGTATGGAAAAGGGGGTTTAAAATTTTTTTTCATATTAACTGTGATATACAGCTAGGAAAATAGTTTTCAACATTGCCTTGATAGTTGGCCAAACTATTCCATGCCCATGGGTATTCTCCAAATCTGGTTTGTGCTATTTTAATATAATTCCAGAGAAATTACCAGCAGTGCCTCTTTTGTGGCATTTAAATGATATTGTTTTGTTTTACATTGTTGAATCAGCACCTTTAAAATAGAATCAGGGCATGACATAACTCTGTACAGAAATACTAGGAAAGAGTTCACATTTTAGTTCATAAATAAAAATACTGTTCTTGCAACTAAATTATTACAAAACTCAGTCCCTTGTCTAAGGTATTCAGAAATTTTACTTTGATAGGACGTTTTCTAAATTCTTTTCAGTAATTGTGTCCATAGCTAATTATTGTTAAATTTGTTATTTTGTTATGTGGACACATTAAGACTTGATTCGTTTTTTTTTGCTTTTTGTTTTTTATTTTTTTTCTAGGAACCCCTACCTTAACTGGAACTGGAACAATCAATGTCATAGTATATATATTATTTGAATCACAATGTACTCATTTTTAACTTTATGATTTATTTCACAGCGATTCTTAAAGATGCATCAATTTTTTTTTGCTTTTTGTTTTTTATTTTTTTTCTAGGAACCCCTACCTTAACTGGAACTGGAACAATCAATGTCATAGTATATGATGTCAATGACAATGTCCCCACTTTTGCCAGTAAGATGTATTTCACAACGATTCCTGAAGATGCACCAACTGGAACAGACGTTTTATTGGTAAATGCCTCTGATGCTGATGCTTCAACTAATGCAGTTATAAGGTCAGTACATTTTTCTCTATTAACTCTGATATTTTCTCATTAAACAGTGGGTTTTGGACTAAATGAATAAAATGTTTGATTTCACTGGCAATTCTATAATATTAACACATAGAACTATTCTGGTTGTCTATTGCTAACTAGCCAACTATTCCTAAAATGAAGATTAAAGCAATAACAATTTCACTTATTATTCTTAAATTTTATTTTACTCATTAATTTTATTTATGTGTTTATTGTAAGTCATGATTTTGTTAGTCAGGACTAGAATGGATGACTCTTCTGCTTTGTGGGTTGACTGGTGACTGGGTGGTGTGGGGGTCCAAGATGACTTCCTTCCTGCACCTTCCAGAGCTGATGAACACAGGGTCCTTAATGACAGAAGAGCAGAGCTCACTTCCTCAAATTTTTTTATAAGGGCTCTAATTCATGAGAGCATTGCCTTTAAGACTAAATCATCCCCCAAAGGCCTCACCTCTTACTACTAACACACTGGCCATTAAGTTTCAAAACTTCAAGTTCTAGGACCTTTTTTGAGTTCTTAATCTCCTTTACCTCCTGCAACGTTCACGTTGCAAGTCATTCTTTCTTTCTGGCCCTTTTTTTTTCTCCTCAATGTCTCAATAAATGTTATTTCTTATTTCTCACCCCACTTCTATGACCATACATAATTTGCCTCCCATAGCTCCTGTTGCTCTTCTTACAAAATAATTTGAACATTTTTCACAGCATTTTTTTCTCAGCTTTTTTATTTTCATTCATCTTTGTATGTGTGTGTGGTCTGTGTGTGTGTGTGTGTGTGTGTGTGTGTATGTGTGTGGTGGGTGCATGTGGGTGTGTGTATGCAGATATGTATATACTTATGTAGTGGGGTGGGTGGAGATCCATTTGCATGGATTTCATCATAAGTTTCTGCAGAGAACCTCCAGATCTGTACTAGCAACTCTGATTCCATTCCGGAGCTTCCCATCCACACTGAGCACCGTCTGGTAGATACATTCTACCCAGAGGGTCTGTTGGTATCACAGACACAGCGTTCCTGAAACTCCCACCTTTCCTGTTTCTCATCTTGCTTTTCTGCTTTCACTGAATAAGGTCGCCTTGCTTTCTTTATCCACACCTTCTGGCTAAGGGTCATCCTCTCCTCCCATACAGAACCAGTGAACAAATTCTCATGTTTCCCCTTTTCTAATCCCTTTGGCACTCACTCATTCTGTTCTGGGCATTTCTCTTGCCAAGATCCTAGTTTCGTTCATAATGACATCATGCTGGGACTATTGGAATAAAAATCAACTTTACTTCTCTGACTCTGGTTTCTAATTCCTCCACTCTATATTCTATAGTGTGTGCTATAGTACACTGTACAGCACAGCTGTGGAGCTCTGTATGAGTACCAGAAATAAATTTGTTATATTCAGAGGAGTTTTGCACTCTGGGTCTTACAAGGAGAACATTGTAATATCAGAGATAATTTTGTAATCTTGTAATTATAAAACCTTGTAAGACATATAGTTTTGTTTTTTTACTGTTTTTTTTTTTTTTGCTTGCTAGAGGGTTTGTATGTGCCTCTCTCACAAAAGAGAGACAGAGAAAGAGAGAAGGAAATTGACAAAGCACCCCTGTGGGGATGGTCATGTTATTATCCCGTTTTCTCCATTTCTCCTTTTGGGATTTGGGGCATACGCACACATGCAGTTGGAGTGTTTTTCAAGCCACTGGGTCTGGGGCTTGAGCTGCTCAGTTAGCCATGTGATAATCCAGCTGCATTAAGCACCAAGCCACAGGTTGGCCCATAAGAAAGAGAGTATAGTCAATGTTAGTTGAGAAAAATCTGTAGAAGTTTCAAGAAATTAATCATCTTTATTATTTTCTTTCAGCATCTAATGGGAGAAATAGTGGAAGTACTTTAAGCAGAGTCAAGACATAACTAGTTCACTTCCTTTTATAAAAACAATTATTTATTTATTATTATTATTATTTTTAATTTGCTATAGGACACATGCACTCACCAGAAAGAGACAGAGCAAGGGAAAGTGAGCACACAAGCTGCCAGCTCCAGGCCTTGAACTGCAATCGGCCATGTGAGAGCCCAGCACCTTAACCACCATACCATCTGCTGGTCTCCTAGTTTACATTTTATATTCCTCTCTCAGGGTTGTTGGACAGCTTGGGCAGAAGCAAAGGCTGAGCCAGAGAATGAAAGGGCAAGGGCGGTCTCATGAACCAGTTTGCACAGTCATTGATTCCGCCTTAATAGTGATACTCCTTCCCCACGCTCTTTGAACTTCCAGTTTGTCTGTGTGATAACACCTGGTCTCCATTCACCCCATAAGCATCCCTAATGTCTTCCCAAGCTTATTCTGCACACGTCCCCAACATACAGCCAACATTTCAGCCTTGATGATCACTTTCTGCCCTCAGGAAAAGAGCCTTTGCTTTCCCAAGCCCTATATGGTTGCTCAAGTGGTTCTGTGTTCTAGATGAGGGCTTGGAAAACTGGGGTCTGCGGGCCAGATGCAGCCCAGTGTCTGCTTTTGTAAATAAAGAGTTTTGGGAACACAGCCATACCCACTTGTGTATCTATGGTCTGTCTTTCCTTTCACATTGCAACAGCAAGCCGAGGTCTTATGGTCCATGAAGTTGAAGATATTTACTATCTAGTCCTTTACAGCAAACCTTTGCTGACCCCTAGCCTAAAGTATGTCATCTCTCCTTTTCAAAAAATATAAAATGGGTAGCCACTTTAAAACTCACCTGAAATTGGGCCAGCAGGTGGTATGGGGATTAAGGCTTTGGATCCAATGTGGCTGACTGCACAGTTTGAGTACTGGACCTGGTGGTTTGAAAATTATGCTGGGCATGTGTGCGTGCATGCCCAAAATCCTGAAAGGAGCCTGGAGGGGAAGGGATTGAGGTGTGGCCATCCCCACTAGGGGAGTGATTTCTCTCTCTGGCAAGCACATGGACCCTATAGCAAAAACAAACAGAAACTTACCTGAAATCTAACCTTCTCTGAGAAGCCCTAATTTAGTCATTCTTGTAAAAGTCTTCCTTTCTCTTCTAAATATCAGAGCAAGTTTCATACCACTGTAACCCATTGCCTTATTTTTTTAAGAATTATTTTATTTAACTTTATTTATTTTTATTTGACCAGAGAGGAACAGAGTGAGACAGTGAGAAGGTGAGAGAGTCGGAGGAGGGGGAGTGAGAAAGTAAGCTGCCAAGTCAAGGACTTGAACCGTGGTCAACCATGTGGGAGTCCATCATCCTTAACCACCAAGCCACCTGCTGGCTCCACCCATTACTTTATTTGATACTTTTCTGTACATCTTTCTTCCATTTAGTAAGTTTGAAGCAAGAATTTTCTTTACCTACTTATCCATGTCTTTTTTAAGTCTATTTTTTTAAGTCTATTCATTTAACAATGAGTAAATAGACTGTGGTAGTTTATATATAAATGATTATTATAATACTGTATATGCATTCTATTATGAGTTTAAGCATAGACTTCTGAGTGTTTACCATGTATCAATTATCATGCCAAGTGCTTTTCACACAAAAATGTGTTTAGTACTTAAAACTGCAGATGAAAGGAGTGCACATGTGATCACTTCATAAATGAAGGGAGAAGGTTTAGAAAGGTTCAGAAACTTATGACTCAAATTTCTTTTTTAAGAGAATTATTTATTTAATTATTATTGTTATTTTAAATTGACCTGAGAGAGAGAAAAAGGGAAAGTGAAAAGAGATCCACCAGGTCTGAGACTCACCAAACCATGGTTGATGTTGTGGGAGTCCAGCGCCTTCACCACCATGCCACCTGCTGGCCCCAATACTTGAATGTCAGGGATTAGCATTCATATCCAAGTGGGCTGTTCCAAATCCAGTCTCTTAGCTGTTACTATTGTAATCTCACAGAAGACCGCATGTGCCTATGGCTCTGTTAGATTTCAGGACGAGACAAAGAAGGTTATAAAAATCAAATGAGTATACTTTAGCTTTACAAAAGCTCCAACAAGTAGTTCAGAGATCAGATCACAGTTTTTCAGTTTATGCAAATATTGGGTCATTGGAAAAGTCGTGATGCATTTTTGCATAGAAAAACACATCATGGCTTTTCTGACAACCCAATAAGTTGAGGCCGTAATTTCTTATTCTCAAATCAGAAAATAAATTAACACATGTGTTTGTCTTGAACAGAACCAAGGTAGACCAGTTGTACATTGACACACCCAGAGTCTACATTGGTCTTAGCAGCCTGTACCGGCATTTCTTGCCTTCACTGCATTCTTCAGCTGCGTTTGACCTTATATGCACTGTAGTTTAAAGGGATAGGTGCATGTTGAAGTCATCTAGGCAAAAGGTCAACTTAGATCTGCCGCTTGTTACACATTGCATGTTTCTTTGTGTAATTATATTTAACTCCCTTAGATCCAGAGTTCTAATCTATAAAAGTAGAAAACTAAAGCCAAATTATTAGGATTTGGGGAAGTTTAAATGAGAGGAAATATAAATTGCCTTATAGTGTTCTTTGTGTCCTTAGTAGACACTACGAAATCAATAAGATGCTGGAAATCTTAAAAAAAAACATACAACCTAGATGTTTAGCTACTAAGAAGACAGCACAGGGCAGGCTCTGCTGCACAGTGGTTGAGCTCTCTTCTTAGGCCGTGTTAGGGAACCACATCCCTCCTGGCCAATCTCAGTTCAGCCCTGGTGGCTTAAAAAAAAAAATAACAACAATGCCAGACACATGTACATACGTGTGCCCCAAAAATCTTGACAGGATAGAAAAATGGAGTAGGAGAGCTTGAGGCATTACATGTTATGCTGAGGAGTGCTCTCTCTCATTCTCAGTTGTTCTGTCTCTCTCTCTCTCTCTCTCTCTCTTCCCAGTGAGCATGCATATACTCTGACAATTAAAAATAAAAGACAAGGGATCAACAGATAGCATTATGGTTATGTACCTGGACTCCCACATAGCCAACCACGGTTCTAGTCCTGGCCCTGGTGGCTTAAAACTCATACTGGATATATGTGTGTGCATGCCTAAGATCTCGGGAAGAGAATGGAAGAGAAGGGATTGTGGCATAGCCCGGAGTGGTTTCTCACTTTCTGTCCCTCTTTCTCTCTCTGTCTCTCTAGCGAGTGCACATGCCTTATAGCAAAAATCTCTCTAAAAAAATAATAAGAATAAAAACAATAGTATAAGACATAATCTAGTGAAATTTATAATTTTACACAAAATAATGTGCACTAGACCAGCAGGAAGATCTTCATGAAGCATGAGAATCAAACCGTGCCTGAAATAAGACAAGTGTAAAATCCTGAGCATGTGGTTTACCAATCTCTATATGGAGATGCTTTGATTTCTTCTCTCTCTCTCTCTTTTCAACTTAGAAGTATAAGTTTGCATTCAACTGATATTACAGAATATCTCATATTTAAAATGCAGTCTTTGGGGCTGGTGGGTGGCATGGTGATTAAGGTGCTGGACTCCCACAGGGCTGACTACTATTCAAGTCCCAGACCTGGTGGCTTACTTTCTCAATTTCTCTTCCTTTCTCTCTGTCTCTCTCTAGTACAATTTAAAAAAATAAATAAAATTAAAGAGCCAATTCTTTTTAAAGAACAAATGAATAAAATACAGTCTTCAAATGCTTTAGGATCTAGTAATATCTAGACAAATTAATATTAATAAGATAAAAATATTAATATGACAACTTATTCTTTACCTTAAAAATACTACATATATTACTTATTTTTAAGTGGACTTCTAGGTAGTCAATAGCATGTACAAAGCATAGAACAAAAAATGAGAGTTTAATAAGTTTCCTTCATAGATTACTCAGTTGAATCTGGACCACATCATTTGCCTTTCAATACGTTTCTTTCCATTACACCACAGTTTTGGAATAGCCAAATTTCCAAATCCAAATTTGTACGCATTTTTTTCATTATCATTATTTGATTTTTATTTGAGAATGTGTAAGGGAAAATATTTGTTAAAGCTTGAGCTTTAGTCATAAATCTGTAAAAAAAAAAAACATGTTTGTGGCAGTATGAGTTATTACTTGTTTTCCTATTAAATTATTTTGTAATTTCTACATCCACTCATCCATGAGATTCCAAAATAAAATCACACATTTCTTTTTTTTTTTTTT